TCTTCTACAAAGCCCACCATGTTTCTACAGTAGTGCAGAAAGAGTAAACCCAAACATTGACTCCAGATAGGGCCTTTCATGGTTCTCACAGCTAAATAGGTTTCTTCTACACACACTCAGCTATATTCAAATGGTTGCAATCTGCAACTTTACCACTAGATGTCACTAAATCCAACACACACTGGTCGAGAAGACGTTGTGTTTGAATAAATTTAATGCCACCAAAAAGGGTAGTGCTACAGATCTTAGTTGTTGCAATAAACAGAGGTAAAAAGCATGAAATATTTACAGATGATCAGATTGATTTCAGTGAAACCTACTTAACAGCTCTATATTTACAGTCTACAGTCAATCTACACATTGTAATTCTAAAACGGTGTTTTTTTTTTTTAAGCAGCCATATGCTGACTGTAACATCTAAGAAATGCAGCACAGAGTAAGCAATGGCACTATAAAGTAAAAGTAAAAAATAAACATTTTCTATTGCTCTAAAGCTAAAATATTTCAATCTTTGGGCAACAGTGAAAGGCAGAAAAAGATGAAGAAGTAATAAAACATTACATTTATCACTGAATATTCATATGGGGCTATTTAATATGTCCATGTCTTTAAGAAATAATTCCAGCATTCAAAAAGCACACTAATCCAGCAAATACAAGTGAAATATTCTAATAATTTGTTCTAAGATCAGACAGAATAGAAAATTCTCTCAAAAAGATGCATAGTTTCACACGGCGGTCCCTAACGGTTCAGATAGTCGGGCAAAATCTTGCATGTTTTTAAAAAGTTCCTTCATATGTTCAGCAACTTAAGGCTTTCTGCGTCTGGAAGAAAGAAAACAACAAAAACATAAACCTCGTTGATCCCAACTTTAAAGGCAAATCAACAGCTGAAATGTTGTCGTCTATATAAGATGGTAAACAGCGCACACACACATAAATTTGCTTACTTTTGATACCCATGGCTTGTGCTTGCCACTGGAGGCTATAGGGGAAGAAGAGGTTGACATAAATCAAATTATCCAATTTATAATAAATGAAGAATTTTCTATAAAAAATACACTTGAATATGTTTAGAAAAACATATATATTCAAATTAAAATGACAAGAAAGCAGTTTAACAGTATTTTTATTTAGTTAAATTAATTTAGAGCTTACCCTATTTTCTGTGTTCTCCATTTGTGCCGGTCCTTCTCCAGACCCTGAACGCCTCTTGCGACTGAAACAAAAAAGGATTAAAAAAGGTTTTACCCAACTTGAACATCATTTTACAAATCTGACTCACAATAGATGTAATTAGAATATATTTGTCACATAAGAGATAAAGACTAGGTAGATTAGAGACTCTAAAATCTCTGTAGGTGTTAACGTGATCTTAATGACATTTTACATCTTCAGTATAAAAAAAAACCTTTAATCTTTAGTTTTAACCATAAGACAAGAGTTTTTAAAACGCAGTTGGTTTGAATATATATTTCTGTAACAGGTTTAGTTATCAGGGTTGGGTATTGGCATGGTACACTGTGCATCCCAGAAAATGTAAATACCTGTGATTGTCTGAGAATGGGAGGCAACAAAAGCCAGATGAGTTAATAATGCTGTTTGACAATCCTTCACAAACATACACACGTGTCCACCCACACAGGAATTTCCCGACCCGTAATACTCGTCCGGACATACTGTACCTTGATGCTGATGCACATTCTTGTTTTAGTGTCTCAACGTCAGTGAACTGCACAGCTTGTCCTCCACCTCTGGTCCTAAAAACATTACCCTGAGAAAGGAGAAAAACAACAACAAAAACAATCACAAATATCCAAAAAGAGAATACACGAAGACACACATACTCACAATCAACAGCGAAAATGTCCCAGTCATATCTAAAACAGGACCCCATTGTGAAATCAAACAATGTGATTAAGTCGAGGTAAAACTCATGCAAGATATATTATAATCAGCAGTCTCAAATTAAGAGATTATGTCGTTTTACCTTGATCAATTTGGTCTCGATCTCCCCGTCGGAGGCAAGCTCTTGATGTCTAAGCACATACTTTTGGCATTTAGACAGAGCTTTCTCGTTCGGGGTCGACACCTTGATTGCATTGGGTATGATTGGCTGCAAGACAGTGTCTAGGTCCAAATTAGAAGTTGGTTTGTGGTCTACCCATTTGTCTCCACCCGCAGAGTGTGAGCGTCTGTGCATTGGATGAACTGGAGGAGCCGTCTGGTGATCCCAGTGTGAGAAAGACAAACCAGGAAGTTATTCACATGTGACAAAAAGTTTGTTGGGGTTAGTAGTGAAGGTCTATCATTAGAGCATGTTAGCTGTTGCTTGTTAGTTTATACTGAAAATAAATGTACTACTGGAAGTGTAAGAGGGACGGGGTGTCCGACTGGATCAAATCTTTACATTTCCAAGGTATAGTAGCCTTCAAATCAAAACACAAACAAACAATATTCTGGCCTTCCAGCAGGACATATTTTCATAAAGTAACTAAAACGCACACACACACACACACACTGCAGTGAAAACAGCCCCGTAGAGTGAATAAGAATTAACATGCAATGCGCTGCTTTGCAAAGTAGTGTGGAAATTAGCAGCAATAAAAGACTACATGCAAACAGAATACAGATGTGGTTTGTAGATCTGGTTAAAGATGTGTTTTAAAGCTCAGGTGACTGATGAAGGGTTTAAAAGTGACAACTGATACAGTGAAGTCTTAGAAATAAGACTGTTATAAGATTATTCTGTTTTGGTCCCAACAAATTGAGCCGGTCACCACGGATCCACTATCACTTGGTGCTCCTAATTTAAAGTTTTCTATGGCCACACTGGATGGAAGATTTGTGACTGAAGATAATCAGACTGAATTGTTGTTGTTCCGTTTCACTTCATTAATCATTCATTATTTGAATCTCTGGGGGGGAAACAGAGATTGTGACAGCAATTCAAAGTATGGAACCATGCTTAGTGAAACTATGATTTTAAGATAATAAATAAATAAATAAATAAAAAGGAAATCACAGGGCTGATTCAGACCTCGACCAAAAGACCAAACAGTTTGTAAGAAGCCAGGAATATCCATATGGAACGGCAGCTTTTAATTTGGTGGTTCAGCCCACATGTGCAGTCACACACTTTCTACTCTGTCCATTAAGTCAAGTAAAGGTTGTAGTCGATTTGTACACTTGCGTTTGTGGGCACCCAAAACAAAAATGTCTGTCAATCACACCTGGTTAATAATTCTAAAAAACTGAATTATGCAGAGCAATGCCTCTGCAGAATACATGAAAATGAGACAACTAGATGATTTATTATTATTATTATGGCCATTTTTAAAAGTGGGACACTCAAGATGTTTGTTCAATCTGAGTAGACCCAAAATCATCAGTGTTGAGTGCCATGTCAAATCACTCCAAACTGAACCCTAATATTGCAGTCGAATGAGTCCAGTGATGTTCTTGATTAATAAACATGCAACATTCTGCTTCACTCTTTTAAAATGTGTAATACTGCTGCGATTGTTACAGCAGTATTACACAGAAATAAACACAGCGTGTGTGTTTATTTTAGAGTTCATCATTTTTGTCATTTTAAGTGGTGCTAATGAAATGTGCGATGAAACACTACGAGGAAAAAAGCAAATCTAGAGAGAACTTGGCAACAGAAAGAACCACGAACATGATATAACTACTTACAAGGCTTAAGATGTGAGTCAAAAAGCATTTACAAGCATGACAGATCAGTCCGCCTTAAAGTCTGGATAAGAGAAACAAGCCTACACTGATGCAGCACTACTACTACTGGATGCATGTCTTAACAAGCAGACATCTACTGATACCATTACGGGGGCAGTTCTACACCAAGGCGAGGCTTAAACTATAAGCCCTCAGAGAAAAACTACACATAATCTTAAGGACATCTAGGTTCTAACACACACTAACCCTTGTGCCTGCCTCTAGGTCTAGCCCATAGACAAGAGCCGTAGCAGGGGCCTCAGTGCCTGGGGCCCAGCGCTGGCCTCTCCTGCGACCCACGCTGCTGGAGCTGTGGCATGGGGTGGGGTTCCGGGTCCTGCACTGGGGAGTCCCAGGCTGCCTAGCCTGGCTGCTTGAGTCTACAGGGAACCTCTGCTCCCAATCAGAGATGCAGGAGGCTACTGAAGGATAGGCTGAAGAGGAGGATGTGGTGGAGGAAGGGTAAGGGTCCTGAACTGCCCTAACACTGGCTGGATTTTGGTGGGAGGGAGTTTGGCTCAAGTCCTGAAAAGTGACGAGGGAATGGGGCCGAGCATTGTGGATGTTAGGGGCTCCAGATTAACACAAATACATAACAGGGTAACACAGAAAAAGCTGCGGTGTACGGTAAGCACAGAAATCTTCAGAATTCATCTGTAGGGATCATCATATAATAATTAGTAGCATGCAAAATTTCCATGTGAAATTAAGTTTCAAGAGTGATGAAGTGAACACTGATGAACGGGCAGTATTAAAGCGTGAGTCACTCACAGGAAGTGGGGATGGTGAGGCAGACCGCTTCTGGGCGATGTTGCGGTCTCTCTCCCTTGAAGGCCTTTCAGGCTTCTCTGGACGCTCAGTGCCGCCACCACTGCTCTCCGTCACTATGGCCTTGAGCTGTTTCAACTTCTCATCCTTCACCCACAATTTGTTCTGCATCTCCAGCTGCTTGGCGTTCACTCGCCTCTCCTAATTAGAAAACACCAGCGAGAAACAACTGAAAGAACAGTCTCCTCATTTATACGACAAAATTCTCTGGAGGTATTGTGGTTCACATTTCTCATTTCAAAGTTCTTGCACTCGTGATAGTGTATGAATTGTATGTAGGTTTGAGGAGCAAAACATACATTCTGATTCAAAGTATCTGGGATTTTTTGTTCTTTCAAAGTTGACTCCTAATAAAATCTGTCGGCGCCACTTTTTTTCTTTTACATTTTGTTTTATTAAAACAGAAACTCTTCTTTTAAAATATATCAGTGATCACTATATAATTGACCAATAAAAAAGAAAATTAAATTATTCTTATTGTTGTGATAATGAAATTTGAGCTGGTAACACATTGGCTGCTGACAAGGGACACCACTACAAAAAATCCTGGCTCTGAGTCGTGTTTTTTTTGCCTCTCTGCCTTTCTCCTTCTCATGTCCTCTGCTCTGTATCGGTGTGGAGAGAATGAAATGGACTAGATACTTTCCCATCTTATCTATTCTGTTTTTCCATGCATAAGCAAATTAAACTATTTATGTTTTGGTGCTGCTTTATTTATTGTCTGAGCAGTGACTGTATGTATGTACACTGGGCAACTCAAATATGGACGACATGGCACAAATACACCGTATACAGCTCCACCAATACACTATGTATGTGCAAGCCTTCAATATACAAAGCAATCGCTACCAAATAGTGGGGCCACTGTCAATAATTCTACTTACACACTCCTTCTCCCACTTGAGTTTGGTGTCAGTCACCATGCCGTGCATGCGCTGCTCCATGCGCCTCCTCTCCGACAGCTCTCTCTGTAGCCTTTGCTCCCGTGTCTCCAGCTCCTGCTGAAGTGAGCGTTTGTCGTTCTCATACATGTCCGTTGTTTTCTGCAGGATATCGATCTGAAGAGGAGGACCGGTAGTGTGAGCAAACAGTGAAAACGGCAAACAAGTGAATTCACATATCTTCTACAAACCTACTTAAAGTGTTGCAAACCAAATGTAGTAAAGTGTAGAATAAGCTCTCTAGGTAAAAGAGAAAGCACCTTGTATTCCAGAGTATTGGATTTTTTCTCTAATCGTTCTATCTCCTTCCTCTGGTTGATGATGACTTTGTCTTTCTCGTCCAGTCTGCTTCGTTGATCATGGAGGAAGGTCTCCTTTGCACTGATCTGACCGTCTAACTGCTGAAGCATGGACGCCAGTGTATTGGCTGTAGGAGAAAACACATTAATGTAAACTGTTAACAATTTGGCTTGAAATGTTGCTTTTTTACTGCAGACAGCTGCCTAAAATCAGCTATCAAATAGTGAATGAAATAATTATCTGCGGTGTAGAAAATGGGCCTGTACCCGTTTTGTTGTACTGCTCGGTCATCATCTGACGGACACGATGTCTCCTTTCCAGCACCTCCATGAGGCGTGGCAACGTCTGATCATCAGCTGCGTCCACCAGCTCAGAGGGAGGCAGGGCTGGAAGACTTTCTATGAGCTGATTCAGCAGACCTTGGTCATCTACAGTGTGAATAAGAATATGTCATGGAAACATTGTGTAGAACTAGACATATGCAGTAAATAAAACGTTTTCTGAAATTCATATATAAGGAATGTAAGGATTCAACATGACAGGAGCATACTGAACTTAAGAGTGATTTACCTGCATTACCGGGACCTCCTTGCTCTTCCAGGCGACGTGACAGCTCATCTCTGAAGACCTGGTTTCTGTGTCTGCGTCCTGCTGCAAGGCCACAGATTGGCCGGTCAACCGGCCGCGCTACTTCCACCTCCTGGGTCATCTCTGCAAAGCGCATCACCAGCTGCAGCACATCCAGGGGAATACAATTAGAAATACACCAACTTCATCAAAGCACCCATTAGTGCTCTAAATCAAATGCAGTTTGAAACTAAAATGTGGAGTTTGTTTAGTTCCAAAGAGTCTACTGTAATCTTGGAGGAAATTTGTATATTTAGGAGACAAAACGAGGGTAAAAGTGTATATTTAACCATGTTGTCAAGATTTCATTGTGGTTTGATGGCAAAGGAGACAGAAGCTGCACAAAGAATATGAGATTAGAGAGAAAAGATTTTACATGTCCTACCATCGTTTCGTCATAATCATCAGCCTTTGGGTTGACGCACACAATCATCCTGACTTTTCCTTCTCCATCAAAGTAGTTTTTAAACAGATGTGTAACTTTAGAGTCCCTGTATGGCACCATCTGGAAGACAATAAAGGCTCTGTGAAACTGCACCTACTGGAAAATTACCAGCAGTACAAATTAAGATGAGTAATATCAGCTTACATAGAAATAAAACACATGCCAACCTTATTAGTTCCACACATCTGGTTTTCACGCAGGACTTCCATGCATGTGCGCAGTGTCATCAAGGACTGGTTAATATTACCTGTAAATCAGACATTACCAGAGAAGTTTGGTGTCTAAACAAGTATTATTACTAAACACAATGAAAATCTGCAGATTGACAGTGAATGCCTCTGGTTGGAGAGAAAAGCCACTGTAAGAGGTAAACTGACCTGCTTCACGGAGGCGGCTTCCCTCTGCTCTGGTTCTGCTGGTGCGTTCACTACCTGCCAGGTCAACCAGACACAGCTGGCTCACATTCACCTGGTTTTTGTCCTGACATTTAATAACAAACCGTTAGTAGCTGAAATCCTTTTTTACTTGTTTTACTGAAGGATTCACTGGCTTTCTTTATCGTAAAAACAAACAAATTACACATTTTTTACACACAAAACTGAAAAACATCTCTCAGTATGTAACGTTTGCATGTCACCTGTAGAATGTGGTCCCCATCAGCATCAAGCGGTGCCTGGGCCAGCTTCACCGTGAACACACTGTGGGAGCGACTGGATTCCCGGTTGAGTTGAGTGTTGGCTATTCTCCTTTTCTTTTGTCCTAGAGACAGAGACAGAGCATGATGAATATAATGTGTGACATTAACAACAGAAGTAACAAAAGTGGTCAAATAATGTGATTTATAAGTCAGCAGATATTTTGCTTTGTCCAATTATTTCTGCTGATTTGACTGTTTAACTGGAAGCTACATCTCACAACTGCCCTGATGCATACAAGTAATGTCAGCTCTGCATGGACATGTAGTGATGACGTTTTGTAAAAAGTATTAAATAATCATTGTTGAAATATTTTGATGGCTCACAGAAGCCAAGAATAAAAACAGTCTAAAACATGTTCCAAACCTTACGATGCTGACATACAAAGTAACTACAGAATCTACTAGAGAGAAAGTTATTATTACCACTCACCTTTCCAAAAGACTTCAAAAGCCTCCTCTGTAGATTTCACCTCGACTTCTGTGCAGCCAGCCACATACATGTTATGATTCTGATCCTCTCGGAGAATCTTGGATTGAGGTGGTCTGAAACAAGTTAATGACGACAATCAACATACACCAGGAATGTAACATACTGATGCGTCTCTTTATTAAAACAAACAGCAAAAGCTAAAATTACAAATACTTGATGTTAGTGTCAACATTAAAATAAAATACAATCTAGGCAGACATACAGACATTCAGGGGTAAAGACACGCGCACACAAGCTTGAGCCATTCAGGGGTAAAGACACGTCTCCACACACACTAACAGTAACAGCCAATCCTTGAACACGACAGCCACAAAATGACACAAAGCTAGTAGGCTACACTTTTACAGGGCTTTGGATTAATGGGATGGAAATGCACTGATGACCTACGCAACATGTCAGCTACAGCCAAGTCACGACTATGAATAAATATAGTACAGTGTAATGTACTTTTACTGGCCACATACATGAACTCATTGTTCCGTACAGGCGTGCCTCCACCGAGCCACCTGACAAAAACAGGATTTTAAAAAGTGCATCTTGTCAGCATACACACACAAAAACGCTACGTCTCAATGAACTTATTCAGCACATACATGAAAAACAGTCAAAGTGGTTGTAATGCAGACACACGTGGTCGCACAACTACAAAAATACTACTTGTGGTGCACGTTAGTAGGGCGTGACTGCACCACAGATAACCTGGATACAAATAAGCTTCGTACAGACAAACCTTCAACGTGATATCGCTCAACGCATACACCGGCTTGAAATCCTGTCTCTTACTTTGGTCTGATTGGGTCAAATGGAGCATCTTCCAGGAGATCATAGATATAGTTGTTGTAGACCTCGATGTAGGACACAAAGACGCTGTAACAACAGTCTTCATCCACATTCTCAGATTTACACGCCTCCTCTGAGCTGATCATATCCGCAAACTCCGGGTCAGCAACCTTCTGCCTAAAAACATACACCAAAAGCAGAGCAACATGATAAACAGCAGTGAAAAGGTACTTTGTGAACAGCATACATAGAGTAGAAAGTACAAAGTGAATCATATCTACCTGGAGGATGGTGTTTTTGGCACCGACTGTTGACTGTCTCGCTTCTGTCTCTCCAGCAGTGCGTCAACTTGACCCTGGATCTCCATCCCATTTTTGTCGTCTGGTTTAAACACCTGATGAAGATTTAAAACGTGAGTCAATTCAAACCCCTCTACAAAAACATCATCTTTCTTTAGAGACCAGCTACAACAAGATACGAATGAATGAAAGTCTTACAAATCTTTTGGCCTGAAAGGGGCCGATGCTGTTGAAGAGCATGTCTAGAGAACGGGGGAGGAGTCCACCTTCTCCAGGTGAGCCGGTCATGGTGAAGGTCTTACCACTTCCAGTAACACCATACGTGAATAAGAGACCTGTTAACACCGAATATCACAATTACATAAAACACATTTTTAGGATTTCTAGTCATTTTTCTGTTGATCAACTAAGACTTTCATCACCAGAGAGGATACATAGTCAGTGTCTGGGATCCTGTGCAGTGCACGTCTTACATTTTAGTGCCTTAAAAACAGCTTTAACTCACTTACCATTCTTACAGTGAATGAGGTCCTCTACCAGAGGCCTGGCAACATCCTCAAACAGCTCCACTTGAGTGGTATTAATACCAAATACTTTTTTAAAGGAGTACTGTGTCTGAAGGATAAACAAAGAAAAATCACGATATATGTAAATGTCATTGAACAGAAAACAGACGATAAAAAGCCAATATCATCATCATCATGTATTAAACCTGTTGTTGAAGAAAGTCTGAGCTGTCTACTGAATAGAGCTGAGACCAAAACAGTGTTTTTTTAATCAGTAATGCTGCGCGAGTTCTTTTCTTTACAACATAAAATTATTATATTATGTTGAAATATACATGTGCAATTTACAATGCAACTTTAGACTTCTATATAGGGTTTTGTGCAATTTATAATGCTCTCACTTTCTCTTTTATA